AAACATATACATACATGACACATATCCAAAATGTAAGTTCTGATGGACTATTAAAAGCAAACAACAATTTAGTTTCAAACCATGCTTATCACAAAGGGATGTAAATATCTTACACTACTTTTTGACATAGTTTCAACCACTAGTGAGTACTTGTCATAGTGAGGCACCAAATTTTGTAATATACATAATACAATTATACTATCTGCAATGCAGAATCCATGTTCAGGGCTTCTTTGATATTATCTTTGAGGATTTTCTCTAAAACTTTGGCCAATGCACTCAGATTGCATACGTAGATGATGCACTAGTGATAGTGGGAGGAAGCTCAAGAGTAGAATTAGAGAGAAAAGGAATCAACATTATAGAAAGAATAGCAGAATGGGGAAAACAAAACAATATGGAATTTAACCCACTAGGTTTAATTCCCTATTGTTTTGTTTTCCCCAAGGATAAGAATAGTCCTCAGTTGCCCAGGTGTTCCACATCTTTTTAAGAGAGTACCAAGCATAAAACTTAAAAATCATTCTATAAAGATACAACAAATAAAATATCTTCGAGGGACACTCAATCATAAACTTCTCTATAGAATCCATCTTTCAATCCTTTTCAAAAATAACTAAGAGCACCTGGAGCCTGAACTCTTAGTTCTATATATAATTTAATTTTCATGCCAATTATATCATATGCATGCCTCGCTTGGGAAAAAGCTATCTCAAAAACATAACAAGCAAAAACTCCTGGTAGCCCAAAGGTAAGCTCTTCTTATAATTACAAAGGCTTATAGAGCATCTCTAACAAAAAGCCTGGTTCTGTTAAGAAAACCACCAGTGGATAAAGTTATTACATTCATCACACATAAATGGACTCAAACACAGACAAAATTTTATTAAAGGAACAGACAAATGCAGGTAAGAAGACTTCAAACAACAGATCCCTTTTAACATCCCAAATCTGGGCAAAAAAGTATATTTTCAAAAACAACTATTTAAAGAAATCACAATGTGTATACAGACAGTTTAAAAATTCAAGACTATGTTGGAAGTAGTTTTGTCATTTATGAAAATGGAAAAGAAACTCAGTACAACTAAATGAAGTTGTACAAAGATCGTAATGTTATACAAGCCAAAATTCTAGCTATTAGTAATACAGTGAAAGAATATGAGAATAAATCCTCTAATTCGAGGATTAACTTGTTTTCAGATAGTAGCACAGTAATTTTTACAATATTAAATTAAAGAAACACACCCAATTACTAACAAAATCAACAGGCTTCTACAAGCTTCAAACGACGACTACTCACTGAACTGGATAAAAGCACATAAAGGAGATGTGGGAAACACAAGAGCTAATGAGCTTGCCAAATCAGCAGTACTTGATGAAAACAGAAAAACTCCAATGGTTCAAATTTAACCACCATCACAGTGCAATTTCTTACAAACCATGTATATATCTCCATCACTTTGGACACTCAGAAAATAATAATGTGTACCATCTGAACTTACAGATGGAAGTGAACATTATCTTTTAGACTGCTTAACACTAGAACAAGAAAGAACAGAACTTAAAATTGTCCTAAAAAAGAAAAGAAAGGAATTGCCTGGCCTTGCACATGAAATCTTCTGTTAGAAGAAGAGGAACATTTCAAAAATTTAAGAAATTTATTCATAATTACTACAAGAGAATGGAAGTACGGTAGAGCGTCGTTTATCCGAAAGAATTCCAGTCGGCAAATTTAAATTTTCGCTAGTGCTGTGGCGCTGCAATCTTTGGCTATATCTTGGGCTACTCCAATATTTTTTTGTTGATGTGTGTTTTTTAGCTGGCAGCACTAGCACTTTTCTGTGGTGTTTTTCTCAGAACTGTGTGTCATGTTAAATTGAACGTTTTTGATACTAGATTAACTTCTAAAGTATAATTTTTTTTGTTTTTATATTTTTCAATATATTTATTTTGTTTGTAAAAAATAAAGAAATAATTTTTAACGATACAATAGCCATGATTATTATTTTAAAAAGTTTACGTTAGGTTTAACATCGATGAACATTCAATGTGAAGTGACATGCAACGGAGAAAAATTTCAACATGGGATAGGTTAATGTATTTTTTCATATATAATCGGTTATCCGAAAAATAAGTTATCCGAACAACCCCAGTCCCCAATTGATTCAGATAAATGACGCTCTACTGTAAATAGAATGTTGGTCCAATCCTAGAAAAGTCACCTAGGAAACACAGAACTGAAACAAAAATCTTCAATTAGATTAGACTTTCTTTTGACAAAAAGCATCATTATCTATAATAAAACACAAACTTGTTTATCAGCACTCTATTCTTTTGTTAGACATTTGTAAATCACCTTCATATTGTTATTATCTAGTTGTGATCAGCAGTACTGGGTATGTACAGTTTGTACCACAAATAAAAGATTGACTGATTGGGGAAACACTGATTAAGAACACTGACTGATTGGGGAAACACTTTTTCAAATGGAGAAACAGAACAAATTAAAACCACCTGGTGCTAGGCTAGGGTTATAGGGATTATTCCCAGTTGAATGTTGTGATGAGAACTTAGGTTTTGGCAATATTATGCAGATAGAAATTGTCATGAAGCAGCATCACACCTCAACTAAAAATGCCACATTGCTTGTTCTAGATTGCAGAATGCAATTTCTTTACTGTTTCATATTAGATACCTGTCTTGATTTTGAGCCTGGAGGCAAGAATTCCATATGATGAATTACTTTTCTGACTCAAAACACTATGCAAAAATGATCTTTCAAGTTGAAATGCTTGAATTTTTATTGCTTGGTGATGATGTGTGTCTCCAATCCTTGCATTGCAGTTTCAATTGAGGAGTCTGTGTGACATGTTTCATCACTTGTAACAATGTACAGTACCTCAGAAATTCATCACCTTGCTCACTCTATCATGTCAGGAAAGTCAATGCACTTCCAGCCTGTTTCATTTTGTGTTCCCTAGTGAGCATCTTTGACACCTAGTATGAGCACAACTTCTGAAAATCTAGGCAATCAAACACAATTTCATAGAGAACTGCAAAATTTGTGGAAAATGATGAAATAATGAATTATCTGTCCTTCTGAACCTTCTTTTCCACCACAGATACCAAATCTTCATTAGCTGCAGATAGTCAGCTGCTTTGTGGATTGGCATGCAAATTTCCATATCCTTTAAAATTTTCCACTCATCTCCATATCATTGAATCACTAATGGCTTGTTCTCCATACACCTTGCACAGTTGACAATGTATGTCTTTTCATGTCTTTTATTCAAGAATCAGACAACAGAAGGCATTTCATAAGTGGTGTGCCACTTGATTTTCTTGAACATTGTAAGCACAGAAAATAATGAGTCAACACAATCCAATTGTATGCAAATGGTATCTGTGCTTGCTAATGGATGAAGAACTTAACATACTTGTACATAATTGTGAATCTAATGCTGCAGTGGCAAATAAAACTTACCATTTGGATACACCTTGTATATTAAAGGCATTTTTTACAGCTTTAACAAAATTATTATGGGTTAATATAGTTTTTAATAATATATAAAATAAAATCCACTATTCTTTTTTATCAAACAATATAGCTGGATTCTTATTGAGCTATAATATGGTTAATTAATTAATTATCCATATTATAGCCAAATAAGAATCTGATTTTTGCTTTAATATAGTTTTTAATATTTTATTAAAATATTAAAAACTATTTTATATTACAGTAGAGCGTCGTTTATCCGAATCAATTGGGGACTGGGGTAGTTCGGATAACTTATTTTTCAGATAACGAATCATGTACGAAAAAATATATTAATTTATCCCATGTTGAAATTTTTCTCCGTTGCGTGTCGCTTTGCGTTGAATTTTCGTCGATGTTAAGCCTAACGAAGACTATTGTATCGTTAAAAATTATTTTTTTATTTTGTACAAATAAAATAAATATATTGAAAAATATAAAAACAATAAAAAATTATACTTCAGATGTTAATTTAGTATCAAAAACGTAAAATATTTGAGTAGCCCAAGAAATAGCCGTAGATTGCAGCGCCACAGCACTAGTGAAAATTTAAATTTGCTGACTGGAATGCTTTCGGATAACAGACGTTTCTGATAACCAGCTTTCGGATAAACGATGCTCTACTGTACTACTATATTTGCCAATCCTTAGCAAATATAGTAGTAATATAAAATGTACTAAAGACAATTAGAAAACAAAATTCAGGAATACCCCAGGTTGCAACTATAACATGATAAAACAAACCATAGATACAACCATCTTATATTTGTACTCCTGCCATGATCTGACTTATTCATCTCCATCAATGTGTTCATTTCAAGTGTGCCACCTGTCACTTTTGCATCATGTGTATAGGTGTCTTGACAAAGACCAAAAATGTCTGAGTTTTAAAAAAATTTGACAAATCATCAATAATTAATTATTTTTTAATGATATAACTGATTTTATAACCAACAAACAGAAACAGTCTGATAATTTAATTAGCAAGTCATTTATAACAACATTCCAGAGTAGGGATCCAGACACTGAGTCTTGAGGACAGCTTTTATTTAGGTAGCATGTTGTTTAAACAAAGCCAAATTTAAGCTCAGCTGTTTTGTATTTTAAGAAATCCTTGAGCAAGTAGAAAATATTCTTTGGTATCTCTGATAAGTTTTAAAACTAAGGGCTATCATGCATTGTCAAATGCACTTTTGATATCTAGAAATATTAACAGACAACAATCTTTTTTTTTTTTTTTTTTTTCTTTCCTTGCTACAGAATATCACACAATTTAACAAGAGCATTCTCTATAGAATGCTGGGGTGAAAAACCATATTGGTCATTGCTCAAACACTTTCTTCAAATAAAAAAATTGTGAGAGAAATGACAATTCATGATACAAGTACTATTTGATGGAATGCATTATGTACTGTACATGACCTGGGATATACCTGTATATTTAAAAAAGAAAAACAAAACTTACTTTTGCCAATAAGTAGTATCAATGAATGAAAAATTGAGTGTGTTTTGAAAGACTTTTAATTTATCCAATTTTTGAGGATTATTGCATTTCCTTTTCTGCAATGGTTTTTCTTTTTCCAGTTCTTCATCCTGTTCTTCAATTATACCAGAATCCTCAGAATAGTTACTTGGAGAAGGACTAGGTGCTTGACTATGTGACAGTGACAGATTTGATGACTCTGATAAACTATCATCACAAACTGAAAAAATATTGAAATAATTTTTGAAGTTAAATGAAATGTAAAATCAATCCTTATCATCATTTCATTCAAAATATAAAATAATAATTTCACTTTTTTCATTTTATCATAATGTACAGGTACAGTACATATAGTCTATAATAAAATTAAAAATTTCTTTTCCTTCTAATTGGATGGAACTTTGTAACAATAAGAAATGCTATTGTTTAGCTCAAACAAAAATTGAAAATGGGAATTTTATACTAAAAGTAAAAAAATTGAAATTAGTTCTATAGAATAAGCAGAACCTTTGGAACAAGACTGGATTCATACCAGAATAATTGGTTCTAGTTTGATGACCCAAATTCCAGTCTTTATGGTCAGATCATTCAACATGAGGACAAAGCCATTTACATTTCTATCCAGCAGTAGCATTATGAAAAGTCAATATTGCTTCTAACATTTAGAAGTGTGTTCCAATTTTAATCATTTAAATAACACTACAAAACATTCAAAAAATTATTTAATAGTCTATAACCAGCTTTGTGAAGATTCAGAATCATAATCAAGTTAATATTTTAAAAAAAATGATATTTTGTACATATGATTAAGTTATTAGCTACAAAATCTGTTACTATGTTAATTGCAACATCCAGACAACTAGAAGATTTTTTTTATTGACAAAAATTATTATTTGATAGTTTATATAATCTGTTTATATTTAGTAAATATTAAACAATTCAAACTTTCAAAAACACTTAGGATCAATAAGTGATATAGTTTGTAATATAATAAGTTTGGTATATTTGAACAAAAACTTATCTAATAAATTGAAATAAATATTAAAGATGATAATATAATAGAAATTAAACCAGCAATACTTAGAATTAGAAAAATAGCAGCGGTTAAACTGTTGGTGTGTTGGTTTTCAAGAAATTGAGAAAAATATCATAAAATAAACCATATCAGTAAAATTATTTTTGAATTTTTTTTTTGAGTGAATACACTAATCACAAAAATATGGCATGGCACAAATTAACACTGTAAAGTGAATTTGTACATATAATTCTTAACAAAGAAGTACAATTTACTATTTGTATAAAATGTTTGAACAAACAATAAAGCAAAGAAGAAGCAAAATAGTGCAAAATTAAGTCATGTACTAAAAAGTATTAAAAATCTTATCAAGTTTTTTTTTTGGAAAAAGAGTTTTCACATATTATAGCAGTATGTAACATCAATCTGCTGAAACTTCACTCCAATCATATGAAAGAATAGTCATTCAAAAAGTTAGCTCCCACTGATAGTAAATAGTGAAAATCAATGAGAAACCAGAAAGTGAGTTTTGTTCACTTAGAAAATTACTTCATACTAAAAATAAGGAAAGCAAATTTTTCAGTGTTGAATTGGAGAAATGATTTGATAAACAGAAAATTCTATTGGAAACAGCATCAGTTGTAACATATTATTCACTCTGTTTTTTGCATTTGCTAGCAATTTGGTGTCACTATGAACTAAGTTGAAGTGAATACTTTTTCTTCTAGACAACTTTTTTTCCAGAAATTTATATTCAAATACAGTGGGTGATCAATTAATGAACATAATCTGTTCCAAGACTTTGTTTCTTATCCAAATTGTTCATTAATCAATTATCGATTTACCATAGGTTTTTATGGGAATTTGATTAATTCATTTCGGAGACTTCAAAAAATAAAAAGATATATACTTTCTTACTATGTTTATTTATATATAATAATAAAAATATATATATACACAGCCTTCCATTTTTAGTATTCATGTTTTTTCTGTTTGTGGTGGGGTTAAAGAATCTGTCTAATGTCAATTGCTTTTCTCTGTTCAGGATTTTTCAGAAGTAATTAATAGTATTGTAATTGTAGAGATCCCCAACCCCATTAACCTCAACCTGGTTTGGATGACATTCTAAGACTGTTGTTCTGACATCCTTCCACTTCAAAAGATCTTTAATAGCAGATATCGGCATTAATCCTCTTTTTCAGAAGAAAACATATCTCATCAAGTTTCTTGGTGTTCTTTCGTCAATCCGTTTCAGGTTCCATAGTGAGCTCTTCAATGTTCTTTATTTCTCAGATGTAATTTTTGTTACTCCTTTAGCTGCTTGAGTCTTCTTGATTATACTGTATCTTTCTTAGATAAGATTGAACTGCAGCCTACTGTAGACCTGTACAGACAAGAAATACTGCCCAGCAACATCAGACACCTTCTGCCAACTCTCTACCTTTGCTATTATACTCTCACCTTTTGAAAATAAAAACTGATGCAAAACTTAATGAGTGTCCACCTGACAGTCTCACGAATACTATCAATATAAAAGAATTGTTTCTGTCAGAAAAATAAAAGGCTGGAATTACAAAGGAGAATTTCAAAGTTTGGAAGAATACTATCCGATCAGTATATACCAAGTTGAGCATCGATGTCAATGTCTCCCGCACTCCAAAAAGTTTCAAATTGTTGCCTGAAGACAAGGGAAGACCAATCAGTATTCATTATTTTACATTGCTTCTTCTTATGTTTGTTCTGTGAGGTGTTTGTTGTCTGAACATAAAAATATTCCGCGAAAGTGTTTGTTATCCTATTTGTTTGTAGTCCAAACTGTTCATTAACTGATCACCCACTGTATAACACAAAAGCCAAATATGAATACATAATTCAGGGGTTTTTATGTCCTAATCTTTTTTTTCAATGATGTATTTCCAAACTGAATGATGTATTTGCATCCTTTGCATTTAGGCACTGTTCTTTGATCTTTCTCTTATATCTCTCTATTTTTTCATATTCATAGTGATGGTTGGAGAATGTATCTTTTAAAGGATGTTTGCTTCATCCCACTTTATAACAGAGCCTTCCATTTATTGAAAAAAACACATGTTTTCAGCCTTTAAAAGGCCATCATCAGGTTCTACTGGTAGAATGCAAAAAATTGAACAAGTTAAATTTTAAAATGTTTGTTGCATATAAGAAGTTCACATGCACAGTAATATGTTATAAATTAAAATGAATACAAAAGAACAAAATATAACATATACAAAAACTTCTAAATAACTATAGATAACAAAAAATCTTATAAATAGTTTGGTCTTAGTACAATAAATGTACTAAGACTGAACTGTTTATAAAACATTACATAGTTGTTAAATGCATTCCAGGCATGTGAGATAGGTGCTGTGTCTCTGCTATTGATAGCCATTCCTCTAGAGCAATGGTCAGCAACCAGTGATCCGTGAGAAAATTTGAACATTGATCAACCGAAGGTTACACGAAGTATTGCAAAAGAAATGCAAAATGCTTAGTTGCTTTTTTCACTGATTGGGGTTTTTTATTTGGATCTAAAACGAAGTGACTGTTATCAATAAATAATGAACAATAAACAATATTGTGAGTGCGATTGTCGTCCTTTGTGGAAAAGCAAGTGCTAAGAATCCATAAACTTGTTTCAAACAAACAGCAATGAACTTTAGGCTTGCATTAATTTGTTATAATTAAACAGGTGAATTTCATATTAATATAGTAAAATTGAACTTAAGATAATTATTCTACAGATTTTGCATCATTTAAAAAAATTCATGATAGTGGTTCCATGGGATTCAAAATTGTGACTTTAGAGGTTCGTGAGGTCAGAAAGGTTGCCGACTGCTGCTCTAGAGATAGCATTGTATATCTCAATATTCTCAAGATATTTTAGATGCGATGGTAATGTGTTTCAATGCAGTAGGTGAGCTCTATCAAAATGAACCTCTATGTCTTTGTCCAATGCATAGGCACCCAAGGCAGTATCCCCTGTTTTTAGTAATTGAGTCCTGGTGTTCCTTGAGCTTTGTCTTAAGTGATCTAAAAGTAGCACCTATGTATTCATATTGTCGATCAACCCTATGATCGTGCAAAGAAACTGTGTATACTTCTAACAGAGACTTTTCACCAGGACGGTCCTTGTCGTTTCTAAGTAATGAAAAGACAATCGGAGAACTCCTGTACTTAATTCACCTTCAGATTGCTGCCTGATCTTGCAAATACTACTTAATCATTAACTATAGATGACTGTATGAAAGGGCTTGGTGTCTTTGTTGGTTGATCCTGCTGTATGCTCATCAAAATACTTTATACAAGTGCTGATAAGTTTGCTTTTATAACCAAGCATCTAGGAATATGGTAAATGCATTGCATCTCTCTTTGTATAAGGATGTTAGAACAATGGGTGTATGTTCTGAAAATTAATGTCCTGAAGGCAGCCAATTTATATTTTAGGGTTCATGTGAGTACAGTGGAATAAAGTACAGTTTGTATGTAACTTTATTCAGAAAACATCCAAAATGAAAACTCTGTTACTTGAATTGATGGAGAGATCCAAAAAATATACCTGTTCATTGCTATTCTGCTCCAGACACAGTGTTAGTCTGTAGGTATTGTTATTAATGGCCTCCAGGAAGTCATGTAGGGGTGGTTCACAAGAACAAACTATTAAAATGTCATCGACATATCTCAAATACAATAAGATGCTGTTCTCAAAGGATAGTAGCAAGTTTTTCAAAAGATTTGGCTGCAATTTTTATATTAATTCATCACTCAGAAATTTAAATATTTTTATTTATGAATATGATGTATTTGTGAGTAATTATTTGTAATAATGAGCTTATTAATTGTTAAATTCGTATCAATAAACATCGTTTGAAATTATACACAAATTTCAAGTGTATGTATAATTTCTTTACAGACCTTATATTCAAGCATCCGAAAATTTTTGTTGTTGCATCACTCTAAAATTAACAAATAAATCATTTTACTTACCCATAACATCATCTGATAATCCTCCTGAAGATGGGATTCTTTCTAGTTTCTCTTTTATAAATTTTTTCTCTTGATTTTCAATCTTTTTGTTTTTTGGTTTGTTACTTGATTTAGTTCCAGGACCAGCTCTAGCATCTACCACCTAATGAAATAAAAACTGATAATTAAAATGTATTGAAATTCTACAATGTCAAGTAAAAAATGTAACTTCAATAAATAAATGCATATGTATATACTGTGTTTTCTTGATTCTAAATTGCCATTGAATCTAATATGCATTCAACTTTTGAGATGTCAAAACCCAAAAAAGTTAATTTGCAAATGTAATGTGCACAATGTATTGAAAACAGCACAAAAAGTTGATGTATTTAAACAGCAATAAACATATCTTTTGTGAAGCATTTTATTTTCATGTTTACAGTGCTTCATGATGTCCAATTTTCATATGTATTTATTTATGACTCCATTATCAAGTACAAAGGATCTGCAGAACAATACGAAATCAAAGTTAAATTTCTGTACAATCAATATTTTAACAGTGAGATTTCATATCAATATGCACAAGAATGAAAATTGCCAGATTCATAGTATCACATTGAAAAATCTGTATATAAGTTCTTAAGCATAGAAAATAACTCTGCTTAAACACAGTTTTATGGAAGATTTATCTGCTGGCATCATTCACAAAAGACCACCAAACTATTCGAAAACCAAAGTAGTGAGAGAACATGTAACATATCTATATTGACGTTTATGTAATTTGCTCTTCACTCTGTTCAAGAGTGACAACAGTAATTGGCAAATGACGAGACTGCATTAAGTCAGCTTTGTGCCTGATTCTAATGAACACCCCATTTTTGAGACCAGAAAAGTCCATAAAAAAGGTTCATATTAGAATTCAAGTAAATATGCTATATTTATTTGCAAATTAGAATTTTCTAAATTAAACATTGACTCTAACAAAACAGTTTCAAGTTTCAAGTTTTTTACAAACTAATAACACAAGCATTCCTTAATGTTTTTGAGTCCAAAAGCTATCCACATCAAAAACTATTTAATCAAAAGAGTTAACTTAAATTTTTGAAAAGTTATTCAAAAACAATAATATAAATGAAACATACAAAAACAATAATAAAATGAAAAAAACAAAATTATAGAGCAATATAAACAAACAACCAAACACTTTCATGTTAATCAAATAATTTAATACCAGATTACTTCAGGCTGTAAATTGCTTTTGAATAAATAATTATAAATTATTTATTCAAAAGCAATTTGTACTAAATTTAAGCAATCAAACCATTATTTTATATATAATCTGTAACCTTTGTCTGCCTCAGTTTATAAGCAAAAGTTTTGCAAAGCTACATTATGTATTCTTTGCATAAATACAGCTGTGTATGAATTGATTTTATTTTCAAGCAAATTGATGTATTTAGATGTAACATCTCCAAAGCATCTTGATAGCTCACTATTGTCATCAATTTCATGATTTTATATTTTTTATCATCATCTGCAGTTTCATTCTCTTCTAGACCACTGTTAATAAATCTGTTGTCAATAAAAAGTTCTTAACGATTGCTACATTGATTGATTTCCAGCCATTCTGTACAGCATATTCCAACACTAGGCAATGCAGTAAATTATTTACTGTATTGCCTAGTGCTGGAATATAATGTACAGAAGTGTTGGAATAAGTTATGGCCTAATAAATTGTGGTAGAAAATGAAGTGCAAGAAATTCTAACTTCAATACACGATTTAATTAAGAAATTCTTGGTTAAGAAAATGTTGAAATGTTACAAATGGCTGGAAATCAATCAATATAACAATGGGTAAGAACTTTTTAATGACAACAGATTTATTAACAGTGGTCTAGAAGAGAATGAAACTGCAGATGATAACAGATGCTATGGAGATGTTACATCCAAATACATCAATTTGCTTTAAGATAAAATCAATTGATACACAGCTTTATTGTTGCAAAGAATACATAATGTAGCTTTGCATATATTAGGCACGTATTTTAAACAAACATTGTTAGTTTGCACCGAGTCTCACAGACCCATGTATATTTTCTAAAATTATGAAATCACAGAAATTGCATCAATAAAAACAAAATTTCATTATATTTTTAATTTTTGCATTTTGCTTCCTTTCTAACAATGCAAACTACTCATGGATTGCAGAAAATGTGTGTGCGTGTGTTTATTTTTACTTTACTGTACAGTAATACCTCGACTTATGCAATTTTCAAATCTCGTCGATTTGTCTTTTGTTTGAGCGCCATTCAACTCTCAATTACTCACTCCCCTCACACTATTGTTCAGCTTACATGTTCAGATGTTTTGCGCGCAATCGACACATAGCTACAATTTATTTTGTGTTATTTATTTCTGTGTTTGTTATATCTACGGAGACTTGAGAGACTCTACTATGTCATCCAAATGAAGTAGAACTAATTCTTCTGCATCAAACAAGAAAAGAAAAACTTTATCTTTGGAATGTAAAGTTAACATTGGGTATGTTCGTAAAGTCGAACGAGTTAAGCGAGAATGAAGTCATCATTATTCCTATTTCGTTAGACTTTTCGAACGATTCGTTACTAACACGTTTAACTCGTTTGACTTTACGAACGTACCCATTATTAAAGATTTCGATACAAAAATGAAAATTTGTGAATTGGCAAAGAAGTTTGATCTACCGGAATTGTCGGTCAGAACAATTATAAAAGGCAAAGAAAAAATTCTCAAAGCTGTGAAAAATGCTCAATCTTTAAATTCAAGCATCATTCGTAAACGTCACAGCATTATTGCTGAGATGGAAACAATATTAAAATTATGGCGTGATAATCAAGTAAATGTGAAAAATTGTAAAATAATATAGGCCTAATTTGTTATACGAATATATTATCTAAGATTTTATTAAACACTTTTTTCTAAATTATTGTTTTGTTTAGTCTCCGGCCCCAATTAAAAATTATTTGTATGTTTTTATATGCAAAATTATAACCTGACTTACGCAAATTCGACTTACGTGGTTACTGCTCAGTCTCACATATCGCGTAAGTTCGGGGTATTACTATAATTTTTTACTTACTTTACTGTAATCTGAATCTGGAAAGCAATAAACTAAGCACATCAAATATCACTAAGCTGTAAATTATTTCAAGTTTCATGGATTAACACCAGGTTTGTTTGTAATAGGAGATTGATGGGTTGTTTCTCAAAGTCAGAGTGTAAAACCATTATTTTAGTGAGAGATTATTAGTAGAGTCAAAAGTCATCTCCACTTCTAATGTAAACAAACCACAAACTGTTTTATTACCCTGTAAACTCCCTTCCCAGTTAGAAATCAGTCAAATTACAATGCTAATGTTTCATTGTACTCAAAAAAGTGTTTTTAATATTTAACAGTTTTGTCAAATCTGACTACAGGTGTCCCTTGCTTAATATGGTTTTGCTTAACTTGGGATTTGATTAACACTGCAGAAATTATTTGCAACAATCCCTTTATATACATGGCAGAAGTTTAATTAAACATGTCATTAAATTTACCATGCATAAACACATAAGATAAGTCAGCAGATAAGACCTATACTAAACAAGGCTATCTCTCTTATCATCTATGTTGAAAACAGAATGCATGAAACCCTTTGTCAAAGGCTACCAATATACCATCTCTAACTCATTAGAGTTAATAAAGACTAAATAACATGCCAGTGGTAAGTACAAAGCACTTGACAGTACTTAACATCATCTTTATGTACCCCTCTATAATGCATGAACTGTACTTTTGTGAATGGAGAAATGCCTTTTTTCCAGCATACAAGACATGAATAGGCACCATCAACATGTCCTAAACCTAGCACACATAATTAGTTATTCAATGTTCTTTACTTTTAATGATTGTACTTATATGCAGAAATGAGGAAACCAATAATAGCCTTATATCTGGGTACCTCTGTGAACTAGTTATTTGAACAATTGGAATAAAGGTTCTCAACAATGAACAGTGCATAATAATATATGTGAGATATGTTGAGGACATTATTATATGGAAAACCAAGCTAGATATAGAATGTTTCCCAAACATTCCTGAATGTTTCTGGAATTTAGCAACAACTGTAGTCTAACTTTGGTATTAATTAATTAATCAGTCCAGTAACACAAGTGTTCAATTCTTAAATCTTGATTTAGAACATACAGTAATACGTTGACTTACGCAAACCCAAAGTTACGCAACTTTCAAATCTCGTCGATTCGTCTTTTGTTTGAGTGCCATTCAACTCTCGATTACTCACTCCCCTCACACTATTGTTCAGCTTATATGTTTGGACTTGTCGCACAGAATCGACACATAGCTACAATTTATTTTGTGTTATTTATTTCTGTGTTTGTTATATCTACGGAGATTTGAGAGACTCTATGTGGTGATTTCTTGTAACTGTAAACAAATCAAAAGACGAGATAAGATTAACGAGAACATTTATTAGCTTACATACATCTGACTTTGATTTTACACAAATTGCGAAATTATACCCTGACTTATGTGAATTCGACTTACATGGTCATCACTCAGTCCCACCTATCGCATAAGTTTGGGGGTATTACTGTATAGGCAAATGCATAGTCACAAGTCTACTGTAATCTACACATCAAGCTGTTCTTATTCCAGCTAACTTGTGATCTCTGGATATATAAAATTGTGGCCTTCAATGTGTTCATATAAAAAGCATAAATACACTGCTCTCAATTGAAAGACAGACAAATGAAATCATATTAAGAAGATATTACTGTAAAACACAGATACAAAGCTAGCCTGATTTCTAGAATATCTCAAACTTTAGAAGAAAAAATGCAGCAGAGTTGGATTGTAAAGAATACTCTAGGCAAACCTATATTCTATTACATTACAAACCTAAGCTCTGTAATCTCTATGCAAGAATAACTATGAACTTAAAATGCAAAGTTACCGATATACAGTGTCCAATAGCATTTAAGTTGTTAACCAATAAAAAAGATAAAGTAAACTTAGAAAGAACACCCAGGCATACAAAATATTGCTAGTAATACTAGATTTAATACACAATTGACATGTGGGCTCTACTTGTAGGTTGGTAGTATCTAGAGTTAAAGAACACATCTATGACAAAGAAGAACCACATGACTGCTCTGTCCCAATTTGCATCAGATCCTGAAATAATATCATGCTGGACTGAAATTAGACTTAAGGATGATGACTGATAGAACAAAACTTAAAATAGCTGAAACTATTAAAATCTACTAACAGGGTTGCATTAATAACAAGAATGGGTTAAATATATAAGGGGCAGTCAAATGAAAACGAGACAGACTATATGAGTGTGGTGCAGAAGTTGGTAATGCAGGTAGGTGTGTGTATAGAAGTGCCTTCTATTGGGAATCAGGAAGGAACAATGTGAATGTTCACCACCGTGCCATCTGTCTGTTAAACATGCTCAAAGTGAGGTTGGTGAGTCATGTGTGCGTCTGACATAACTATGGAGGCCAGGAAAGAGAAACAGTGAGGTGTAGTGCATTTTTTGACCGTGGAAGGAGTGTCAGGAAGTGAAATTTATGCCTGAATGTCTGCTGTGTATGGCAAACACAGTATGTCACTTGTGCATGTGTTTGAGTGGAATAAACAATTTCGAGAAGGTCGGGTGTCATTGAAAGACAGCAGTCAGCCAAGACAGGCTCATCGTGTCATTATCCCTTCTGTCAATGCTGCGGTGGATGCTGTTGTCAGAACTGACCAACAGTGGTCAGTGGAAGACATTTGGCTCATGTTGGGCATTAGTCACGGTACCACTCACGCCATCTTGACACAGCATCTGAAGGCCCAGAAAATCTGTGTGCAGTGGGTTCCCTACAGCCTGATGGTGGAGCAGAAGTTGAATAGAATGTCAACATTACTGCAGCACCTGGAATGGTATCATGATGAAGAATATTGTTTCCTGTCCCGATTGTTGTGGGAGATGAAACATGATGTCATCATTTTGAGCTGGAGAGCAAGTGTCAGAGCAAACAATGGAAACACATGGATTCACCCCATCGAAAAAATCCAAAGCCGTACGTGCAAACTCCAGGAATGTCATGATGACCTTTTTCTTTGACTGCAAGGGCCCGCTGCTCATTGACTTTCTGGAACACGGCACCACAATTAACGCATAGCAGTACGTGGAAACTTTGCAAAAATTGAAGCACATCATCAAGTCCAAATGCCCAGGAATGTTGACAGATGGCATCATTCTGCTGCAGGAGGCATGAATTAATTTTTAATTGCATTGACTTGTTATAATTTCATATCCAGATTTAGGATTGACATCTAGGGATATTTTTTAAAAATACATTTTGAAATACAATGAAAATTATTCAAATTGTTATTGACTGAATGATTGAAACTTTTGTAAAGTTTCAGAATTCCTAGAACAGGATATTTGAATAAGTTAAAACATATGGAAGCTGAGTAGACCATAATTCTATTGTGTTATTTCACCTGAAGAGAGCCTCTGAATGAAGCCAAAAATATTTATGGTTGAAAACTCAATGTACTAGAAGTTTTATGGTAAGCATCAATTAGTTAGTATTCTGTTCTCACATTGTTTCAAACAACTTAACAGAATAAGAGGTGTATGCATTCATTAGTGGAAAACTGATCAAAATATCTTAAATATAGTGATAACTAATAATGGTGGTTAAACCTGCAGAGCAAATGTTCCTCATCATGTCATCAACATGGAAATCAGTCTGTTAAATACAACAAAAACTTTGTCCCTGGCAAAAAAGTTGTTCTCTCCATTATGATGTCCAATGCATCAAACTCTCTTAGTGAGTATCTGGAAAAACAAAATAGTATAGATCAGATCAAGATAACTGTACTTCTATAGCCTTCTTACTCACTAAATCTTGCTCTCATATTTCTTGAATTTTTGGCCAAAAATTCACAAACAACAAGAGCATTGTGAGTAGATGCATTATCATAGTGAAAAATCCATGATTTTTTCACCACAAATCAGATCATTTTCTATAAATTGCTTCACAAAAATGATGCAAAACACCTCAATAATAATATTCTTTGTTGACAGTTTAACCACTTTGAAGGAATTTGTGATGCACAACACCATGACATCAAACAAAACCATCAATATGACCTTGATTTTTTTATTGACTTCAACATGGTCTTTTTGGTCTTCCTTCATCTTTTGATCGCCATTCACTTGATTGTTGAGATGTTTTGGTGTCAAAAAAGTGTAGATCCATGTTTCATCACCCATAATTATGCATTTTACAAAAGATACAACTCCAGAAAACCTCAGTCACTCAAACATGTTGTTTTTGGAAAAACTTCAAGAACTTGAGAAACAACACACCACAAGCCCAAATGATCTTTTAAAATTGCTTTACAAGATCCAAATAATACCAGAACAAGTTCAATAATGTTCCTAATTGTTAAATGATGATCAGTGAGCACTAAATCTCTGATTTGAACAGTGTAGTTCATCAGTTGAAATAAATGGTCTACCAGAGCATGATTCATCTTCAACATATTCTCTGCCTTCCTTGAATATCTTGTACTGCTTAAAAACTTTGGTGATGATAATCTATCAAAAACAAAAGGCTTTTTGCAGCACTTCCATTTCTGTAGTAGAAATTCCATTGCAAAAACAAAATTTAATACACATTTTTTGCTCAATTACAGTTGACGTTTTGAAAAATCACTGCTGCAAAAATTCTTTACATACAAAACAAAACATTTATTTGCAAATGAAAATGAATGATGACATATGGATTATTGTTAGATGTCAATGAAAGTCTGAATCAAATGAACCATGCCTGATACTTTTTGATCATTGCAGTAAATGATACAAATGTTTGCAGAAGTGTGTAGATATCAAAGATGTTAAATTTGAAAAGACTTCTTTAAAGACTTGCATTATTAATGTAATAAAAATTATATTAAAGGTTTGACATATTTATTTTTGACTTTTCTACATGTATATTTTTCTGTTTTCTAATGAAAATAATCACTTGAGTTCTTTTATTTAGATATATATTGAACTTTGATGTATAAAATTGAATTGCAACAATAATAATCTAATTTATTTATAAACCAGCCGCTTTTAAGATATTATTAAGACTAATCAAATGAAAACCAAAGCTTCTCTAAAATAAACTTTCTGTTAACTTTCATAAAAATAATATGGTAAGATAAAAGTTGCATTCCCAGTTCAGTAATACCCTTCTCTGAAAAAAGTTTAACATAGTAAATTATTTTAGAAATTACATATCTTAATTAAAACACGTAAAAATTTTAAATATAAACATTACACTAGACGAGAAATTATCATATAGAATACAGCCTAGTTGAAATGTGAGTGTGTTCCAAAAACATCACATGTCAGATTTTTAGCCTCAGCACTGATTGATTTTATTCAATTAATTAATTAATTAAGGCAACGTGCCATACGAGTAATCTGTCAAGGGCAAAATGCCTCCCAGGAGGTCTTTTGTGGAAAACTGGCTCCTATTTAGGCATTAATAACATGAAGAAAACCTGGAAAACTCCATATAGCCAATCCATTGGTGAGGTCCAAACCCATGATCAACTACCAGTGCTCAGTGGTTTTATCCACTCAGCCTTTGGTGGTGCCTTAGCACTGAAGCATATGGACATTGGATTTTATCTATGTCTACATACTAACAAAAGTCCCTTTGCATATTTGGTCTAAAATATCAATAATATTTCATCTTTCATAATTTTGTTTTTAATGATATCAGAATCATCATAGCTAAATGGAAAATGAATTGTTCATTTATTAAAAATTTTATTAGACAACTTCCTTTCCAATTCATTGGTTAATTTCCCATAAGAAAACAAAAATAGATACTCACATGGTGCCAATTCCTGTCTGTTCCAGGAGGTAACTTTCTGCATCTCTTCACCAACAACACACAGGCATTACAGATCTCACCTGACCGTTTCTCTGTTATGCTGAAGCATCTATCAAACTCTGGCTCATACTTCTTACTGTCAGTGAAACGAGAACTTGAAGACTTAGCCTTACAGATGCAACAGCCATTGGCTGAACGATATATCTTGGGTTTATGAAAGCTAAACATCTCTTTGCTTGAATAGGCTCACTCCAATACTAGTCAAAATTCTGAAAGTGATAATGACACTGTTAGAATCATTAAAATTATTTAGGATACTGAGAAAATATGTTGCAATTAGCCATTGTCAGTCAATGTTAAAAACTAATATCATCAATATGACATTAATAAAAATCATCAATAGCATTTTAAACATGTTTATCTATAAATAAAATTGTTGAAATATTTAGCTCCATTCATATTGAAACTATGATTGGAAAAATGCTTAATAATCTTCAGGAATCCAAACTTTATTAAAATTTAGTGTTTTTCAAGAATTGTTTCATTTTCATATCTTGGTATATAGAATACCAATAATTTCCAGGAGCTATTCAATTCCACCCATGTGTTGGTCAACATATCATGAGGGATGGGTGTTATGACGTCAGTAATTCTGTGCCGTAATGCTGCGATGCTGTTCACTGGTGTTTGGTAAACCTGGTTTTTGACATAACCCCAAAGGAAGACATCCAGTAGTGTTAAGTCCGGTGATCGCAGAGGCCAGTTGATGGGACCACCATGCATGATCCATCTTCCCAGAAATACTGTATACAAATAGGCACGAACATCTAAACCCCAATGAGGTGGTGCAACATCTTGTTGGAAAATTAAGTCCAGAATGTCCTGAATCTGTGGCACAACAAATAACTGCAACATATCAAGATGGTATTGGATGTGATTGTTCTGTAACAAACAAAGTGACAGTGAGTATGTATGTACACACAAAAACTTGAATATGTTACCTGCAATTCAAGATAAAAGATATGTGTCTGTGTGTCATATTTTCTGCCTTCTGCATGTTTGTAATCAGGGAAAGACTTCTGGGACACCCTGTATAATGCCAATGTTAATCTATATTATGATTAAAAAATTGTGTTTGCACATGGCTATACATGTGCAAACATAACTTTCAAGGATATAAGTGATACTGAACTATTTTCACACAGTTAAATGTTGATGCCACCTCATGTGTGTCATGGAACATCAGAATTCACACAAAAATAAAAAATGTCAATACACAATAGAAATAAATTCATATTATTTATTTATTACTGGTTAAAGACTGACTTTAACACCACCACACAACCAATAAAACAACTTTAGAATCTGTGCAAAATTTAAAAATTTAGACCTACTGTCAAATGCAGGTTTGAAATATTTTCAAAAATATTAATGAAGTTTATTTTCCACCTTCTGGAATTAAAACAAAATGAAAAGACTGTGAAAATAAAATAGAAATGATTATATGTGCATGGTGCAATGAGCTATTATATTTCAACTGTTTTTACGATAAATATCATCCAAAATACTGTCATATTATTGTGAAATGGTCGTCATATTATTTATTGTATACATATACTAGCAGACCCTGCCACATGTTGTTGTGGCTCAAAATGTATCTATTATAAATGTATAACACTTCCCCCATGGGAGGAAACTTTTTGAAAAATCCCTTCTTAGTGTACATTCTCTTGACATACCCTATTAAAACACAATCAAAATGCAAAAAACTGCATCTAAAATAGTATAAATAGAAGCAGAGTTTGTTACAGTAAGCCTTAATCCTGTCCATCTCCCCCCTCAGTGGGGGGAATTTCAACATGTGTATTATATAAAAACATGTGCATATTCAAATGCAACATTGTGTAAAAGTTTCAAAGGAATTAATAGGAACAAATGAGCATTACATTTTTATTTATACAGATAGATAGAAGATGATCTGCTTTACTTCATCCTCACAGAAAAGCAAACTTAGATTGTCGTATTCGTGGGAGTTAGCATCATCTATTGGACATAAAAGCCTTAATCCTAGATGATATCTTTTAATTTATATGAATGTTTAACGAAATAATATACATCCTATGTCCACCCTGAAGTTCCATTCTAAATATTGGTGAAAGAATTTTTGAAATCAAATGAGTATTTTTGGAGATTACCTCCTACATTCAAACTTACAAACTTTACCTCTTTATAATATTAGTATAGATATATTTTTGTGACAAAACTTTAAATTGTAAAAAATAATTTTTTTAATTCTTGATATTTTATAATGAATAATTAAAAATAGCATAAAAAATGTACATAAATTAAAAATGATAAGGTTAAATTATAGAAAAATGTTGCATATGAGTATCAAACCTACCCAAAATCAAAAGTTCTGCATGTGACACCGTAAGTAATCATGCTATGCCATGAATTCATGAATCAGTCTTCCATATAGATATTAATGGTTGTATAAAACTTTTATCACAATTTTCTCGAGAATACCAGAATAGTGGATCATGTAGCTTTGGTAGAGTTTAAGTAGAAGTAAATACAATACATCCATAAAATTTCATCAAAATTGGCATTTACAAATTGCCAGTACTAAAATAAGAATCAAAGCTTCTTTTAAAACACTTTTATTAAGAAGCTGAGTTTGATATTTTATTAAGTGTTTTTAATTTGCATTTAAAAGTGGCATGATAATTGCTTTTAGAATCCTGCCTAATATCCCACTATTTCTAAGTTAAAATAATTTGATTTAAATATGGACAATTATAGATACATTTTTTATTTAAAGAAACTTTTAGTTTTAAATGAAATAACTTGGTGTTATGCACATATAATTTCACTTATGAATATATATTTTTTACTACATTGTGTATATGTTTATTTATTATAACAATGAAAAACTCATAATTTAATAAAGAGGCTTTAATTTTGACATGTAAAACTTGTCAAAATTTATTTGAGCTTCTTTTGGAAATAATTTATTTAATAATCCTCAAAAATTTTCATGGCACAACAATTAAAAACCACTGTTGTAGCAACTTAATAATTTGTTTTCTCACATCATTAACAAATTCTTTGATTAGAACCATTGTTTAAGCTAAGACAGGTAAGTATCACTGTTTTCTTAGAAAATGATACAAACACACTCCTTAAAGCTAATGATTTCTTCCATTAAAATTAGAATGCCCTCAAATGTGAATATTTAGAACAATGTTCAAATACTTTTTTCCAATATTGCTTTATATAAAAACATTTTTTGGGGGGAAAATGGTTTGGTTTATTCATTTAAAATTAAAGTGATAAACACTTAAAATCATAATAAATAAAACATATACAGTACAGTATTTTCATTTTAAACAAGTTTTATTTTCTTGTAAAATGAGCTCAAACTAAACAGTTTTATTTTTTTATATCATGTTCAAATACTTTTTGCCAGAGGTTCTATATATGTTTAAGAATTTTTTATGTGATATGTGTTTAGTACTGCAAGTTTTTTACAGTAATATGGTGCTGTTTTGAGACTGTGTATGTGGTATAATGCCTGTGCAAGAAAGAACTACTGGTACAATACATAACTCAGCCATTCTCCACAGATACTTTATTTCATGGGTAAGTTCTGAGTATTTACTAATTTTTTCAATATGTATATTGTGTATGTTGTGGATGTTGGATACAGCTATGCTTATGGTGCATATGGTTTTGATTTATTTGTCAATGAATGTGATATCCGGTGGTGTGATGAATTGTTTTGTCTATGATTATGGCATAACCATACTATGCATTTGAGGTACTGTATGTATTTGTAGTATGATTCCTGTAATGAAATAGTTTAAATTTGTATGCGAGTTTTTGATACAATATTTTTGCTATTTGGTTATGTTCATGTAAGTAGTTACTTTGTATTAAAACTTGCAACTGGATCTTGTGTCTTAAGATGTGCTTTCTTTAATTTCTTATATTTATGACTTGGTCTTGTATGGAAATCACAAACCATTTCATCTCTTCAAAGAGGCATCCATCAGTCAGCTAGTAGTTTGATGCAGTTCTGTCAATATGGTCCTAGATAAGATCATTAAGGAATCTAAGTGGAGTTCTTTCTTAGTCCAATATTGCCTGATAGTGTCTGTGCAATTTGAGTTCTATGTTAGATCCAGGTCAATGTTGCACAACTTTGATAGTGTACTGTTTTTTGTCTGCAAAAGTTATTGCTTTGTGTAATTGTGATGTTTCTTGTTTTCTGTACAAAAACTTTCACAATGCATGTTTACTATATCAGTGATGCTCTTTATGAGGAAGAGTCAGTCTTTCTGTGGATGACTTAAGGTAATGTTTGTTATATTTTGTTAATGCTAATCTTTGGAGTTGCTCTAGTTCTGTGTGTATCCAGTATATGACTAAAGAACTGTCAGCACTGATATAACATGATGTATTTATTGTTTTAAATGTGTGTTTTGCATTCAGCTATGTTGTTAGTATTGCATTCAGTTTACTGTTGTATTCTTTTGTTAGTCTTTGTTTTATTTGTGTGTGTTCTGTGAACAGTCCTGTTGGAATCCTAAATATTTTAGACTTTCCCTCATCCTTGGATTCAATGTCGTCTCCACTTTGAACACAATCATTCTTCTTTAGTATTTCTTTTTTATGTGAAGTCTTGTGCATTTATTTAGGCCAGGAGTGACAAACCTATGGCACATGCCCAAAGTGGCATGTAACATTTCATATGATTTCAGTTTATCACAATAATCCTTTCAGTTTCTCATCTGATCATCATTTTCAATCTGCTTCTTCACACTTATTCCAATTAAAGCATTTTTATTTCATTTCTTTAATTATTATTTGAAGTCCAAACTTCAGAACACATACCAGACAGAAACAGTTAAGAAAATGCCTAGCCTTATTAAGTTAAGAGATTTATGTATATTTGGTTTGGTTTAATGTTTCCATATTTAGTATACATCAAACACAACAAAACAACACAATACATATTATCTCACTTCATGTACAGTACATGAGTGACATAAAATTCTATGTATCCACACAAGCACAGCTAAACCACCTATTACACAGCTATTAGAAGTTACACACACTTAAGTCAAGTATGTACAGGTATATCTGAACATGTGGATGAAAAAAAAAACTGACAGTTCTGTCATCCACATGTCAGGTATACTGGACAGGTATGCTGGTACAAGTATACTTGACTTTACTCCACTGACATTCAAATTGTGATTGACCTAGACCAGGGCTTCTTAAACTTTTTTAATTCACGACCCCATTTATGATTGTGATTTTTTTCGCGACCCAAAAAATATAAAATAAAGATACAGTATATACAAATTTGCAAAAACAATAATGGTGTACTACCACAGTTCACTCTTGTGTTACAATGGAACAAGGACAACTGAATACACTGAAAAGTGACAACACTACACTAGTTCACACTACAATCGGTGTTGCTGAATCATTGTCTCGCTGCACCAGAAGTGACACAAAGCGAAACTCATGAAACCTATGACACAAAGCATGCCATTTTCAAACTCTCACAAATTATTTTCAATATTTTGCATTAAAATCTCACGACCCCAAGTGGGGTCGTGACCCATAGTTTAAGAAGCCCTGACCTAGACAAATGCAGTTTGAGATGTAGTGTTCTCCTCTAGTTTCCTTATGTTGTCTAAAAATGTAATGAGAGTTGGATGTACAGAATTTTGTATAGGTGTAGAGTATGCCGTAACCAAGAGTGTGGGATGCTATTGAATGCCTTCCTGTAATCTATTGTATGTATAGGTTTCTGTTTTGTTTGTGCACTTGTAGAATGATTGCATCTATGAGTAATTATTCTTTGCAAACCATTATTACAATTAATTTTAGTTATTTAAAAATTAAATTATTGTAAATACAGTGGGTGATCAGTTAACAAACAGTTCAGATAGCGAACAAATCGGATAACAAACACTTTCACAAAAGATTTTTATGATTGGACAACGAACACTTTACCGAACAAACATAAAAAGAAGCAACAGAAAATAATGAATACTGATTGATTTTCCCTTGTCGTCAGGTAACAATTCGAAATCTTTCGGAGCAGAGGAGACGTCAACATCAACGCTCAACCTGATACTAAATGGATAGTATTCCTCTGAATTTTGAAACTCTCCCTTGTAATTCCTGCTTTTTGTTTACCTTTCTGACAAATAATTTTTTTATAGTCTTCATGAGACTGTTGGACAGGCACTTCTTATGTTTTGTGTCAGGGTTTATTTATGAAAGGTGAAAGTTTAACTGTCCCAGCAGATATTCGTTAACGTTTTAATATCAAATTTCATCTGAACCTTGCATTTACATAATTTTTTGTGTGCAAGTTGGTTTCTGTTCTCTGAAGTTTTATAAGTGGTTTTCTGAACTTTTTATTTAAAAAAGAAACTGATAATATTATGGAGCCTAAAAAGAGGAGTGTCAAGAATTGTGCTTACTGTAGAAACCAAGTAAGATATAATAACCAAGGTAGAAAGTGGGCACAAGATGTCTGATGTTGCTAGGCAGTATGGCTTGAACAGGTCTATGGTAGGCACAATCTTAGCTATGAAAGATATATCAAGAAGTCTCAAGTTGTTAATGGAGTAATGAAAATCATATCTGAAAAATAAAGAGCATTTTAGAGCTCATAATGGAACCTGAAACTGATCTGACGACAGAAGAACCCCAAGAACTCTCAAATGAAGAATACCAAGAAGCTCAGAGAGATGTGTTTTCTTTTGAAAAAGAGGAAGACAAAAGAGGACCAATGTCGACATCTACTATTAAAGATCTTTTGAAGAAGTGGGAGGATGTCAGAACAATGATCAGATGAGTGGTATCCAAACCAGAATAAGGTTAATGGGGTTGGGGATCTCTACAATTACAATACTATTAATTACTTCGGAAAAATCCTGAAGAACAGAGAAAAGCAATCGACATTGGACAGATTCTTTAACTCCCACAAACAGAAACATGACTAAAAAAAAATGCAAGTCTGCATATATATGTATTTTTACTATTACATATAAATAAATGTAGTAAAAAAGTATATATTTTTTATTTTTTGAAGTCTCCGAAATGAATTAATCAAATTCTCATAAAAACCTATGGTAGATTGATAATCGGTTAACAAACAACGTCTTGGAACGGATTATGTTCATTAACAGATCACCCACTGTATTAAAGAAGTGAGAAGATTAATCAGCAATGTTTGTCATATGCATTCAACATAATTTTACCTTTTTTTTTTAATCAGAACACAATAAAAAAAATTGAGGTTGAGTGCTAAGTATGAGATGGCTTAAATACACTAAATCCTTTTTTGTAAATACACAAAATATTTATTTGTTTAAATTAATAGTGTAGTTAATAGTGAATGTGATCCCCTTAGCTTTAATTACTTCTTTCACACTCCCAATTATTGATGCTGCTAGCTAATCATACCTGTACATCTCCTTCACCCTCAGGGTTTTGAAATGAGACTTTCATGACACTTTCACATCATTTCAGTTTTCATTGTGCAATCCACCATAGATATCCATGCTTTAATAATGACCCAAAAATTTTCAATGGGGTTTAAATTAGGTGAATTTCCTGGCTACTTCAATGTTGCTGGGTAAAGAAGCTCTTAGCAAGCTTAGAATTGTGGCATGGGGCCAAATCCTGTTGAAATACCGCATCCCTGTTAGCAAACAGCTTCTGCAGTGTAGGGATCATTTTTGCCTCCAGAATGTTTATGTACTTTTTGCTATCCATCATTCCTTCAATGGAGTGAAGTATCTGAGGCCCTGAAGTTGTGAAATATCCTTAAAGCATGACCTGGGTGGGTGTTTGGGGGATTGCTGGATGTGGCTGGATCAAAGAGGTTTTCCAGGTAAGCAGATGAAATTTAACCTGTAGCAATGCCGCTCAAAGTGAGTTTTGTTGGAAAATATCACTTTTTCCTAATTCTCCAAGCCCAGTTGAGATATTTCTTGCCCAGGATAGATTTTTTTGCTTCATAGCATGTGTCAAAAGCTGTTTTTTGAGGGATGTCAAGTCTGGCAGCCACATTCCAGAAGGCGATGATATATAGTGGAAGCATGTATATTAACCCCACGAGACGCAATCTCCCTTTTGAAGTCTCCACTGGTCTATCTCCACACTAGATTATCATCTCTACATGTGGTTTTTCTTTTTCTTCCACAACATCCTTTACAGGATCTGTCCATGGAACCTGTCTACTTATGTGACTTAAAGATCTAGATTAGATTAGATTGTCTACAAGTCATGATGTCCACAATGTATTTAATAAAAAAGTTTCCAATGAAAACTGCAAACTACTTAATCATGCCCTTTGTCTATTAAATATCAATTCCAACTAAAGTGGAAGTGTAAATAATAGCAGAGTAATACAACAGACAATTCCAGATTTACAGGTATTGCTAAATCAGGTATGTATAAATCTAAACTTGCACATATCCATTGCAGGGCTTAGACTTAGCATTCTTCACTTGTTCCAACTAATTCACTCACTACATATGTACAGGTTTCATATACATGTTTACAGATCCATAAAATTTTCCAAGGGGAAAATTTAGTTTTTTTCTTTCTTTTTAGTTATTTTAATAATTACAGTAGAGCATCGTTTATCCGAATCAATTGGGGACTGGGGTTGTTCGTATAACTTATTTTTCAAATAACCAATTATGTACGAAAAAATATATTAATTTATCCCGTGTTGAAATTTTTCTCCATTGCATGTCGCTTTGTGCTGAATTTTCGTCGATGTAAAGNTAGAATAGTAAATCGCGTAGCATTTCGCTGAGAAGACATGGAAGCGATTATAAATGAAAATCCGACGGAACACATCCCGACGCTATAAGGCGACGCGATTAAAACTCGTATTACGATGCGATCTTCTCGATTATTATTAACATTAAAACAACGTACGATTGTCGGATAATAAGATAAAACTTGGAAATATTTGTTCACCTTCGAACAGATTCTCGACTCCTCGCAGCCAGTAGTAGATGATGCTCGACGGTCGACGGTGCTGCACCACCGCAAAATACGACGCTGACTATTTTAAATATAAATTTATTCTATGAACTCTTTCTTCTTTAGTTTTATCGGAAAAATTCTCTAAACTAATCGGAAATTTAAAATCTACGCTCAGTTTTATTTTCCTTCGTATAATTCGAGTGTTAAATTTCTTTAAAAAAATCACAATAAAACAAAAATATATATTTCCGTCTATGGGGGATGGAAACACATTCTGACATCATTGGATGGACGAAGGTTCAATATTGTATATATTCAACATGAGCATTATGAACTGCATGAAAAACATCAAAACAATAGTGTATTTCTTCCCACACATGAACCAACTGGATACTAGTTATTGAATTCACAATTTCAGCAATTCAATGTCTCAGATCTTGAAGAGTAGGAGACAGATGGAGGACAAATACCCTTTCTTTTATGTACTCCCACAGATAAAAATTGCAGGGGATAATGTCTGGAGACCTGAGACCACAGATGATAAACAAGATCTTTTCCATCTCTTCCAATCCAATGTCCTGGAACGTTGTTGTTCAGATAACACTGGACTTTAAGTGGAAGTAAGACAGGGATTTTCTTGCATCAAAATGAAGTTGTTTGAATCTTTTTGAAGTTGAGAAACAACTAGTTTTGTAGCATGTCAGATATTAAAATGCAGTCACAATTTGCTTGGCAAAAAAGAAAGGTCCATAAACTATGCTTATAAAAATGATACAAAACACATTTAGCTTTGGCAAGTTTCTTTCATGTTCAACAACAATACAAGATTTTCACTCCCCAAATTCTAACATTCTAGCGATTAACCTTACCAGAGAGATGAAATGTTGACTTATCTGAAAAAATTAGTTATTTGGAAAAAATTGTCCTCTTCCATAACCTGCAGAATTGCAGCACAAAATTCAAACCTGTTATAGTTGTCAGGATGCAATGCCTGCAGTAATTTTCATATGCATATCGTTTTTAAGAACATTCCATACTGATATTTGAGGAATTCTAAGTGCAATGCTTGTCCATGTTGTGGATTTCCTAAGGCTTCATTCAAATGCACCTCAGATGCACTCAACATTTTCATCTGACATGCAAGGACAACCAGTGCTTTTCCATTTACATATGCAAGTAGCATCTAAAAATTTTTATGCCACCCATAAATTTGCTTATGATAAGGCAGCTGTTTATTGAATTGACAGCATAATTCATGTTGCACTTCAGCAATGGATTCACATTTTGCAAACTGCAGCATACAAAACAACCACTCCTATTGTGTGCCATTTTCTTATAAACAATTGTATGCTGCTATGTGGCATGGAATGGAACTTGTAGTGGGCTGCAAAATTTTTAAAACTTTCAACTTTCCTCTATCCAGTGATATGCAGAATATACTTTCATCCCTTTGTTTGAAATAAAAATCTGCTCCATCTTTTTGAATAACCCTGTATATTTTAGTAATTTTTTAGATTCTTGTAACCACACATTGTAATGAACATTTTTACTTCAATGTAAAATTGTAGAAAATATTTTTTTTTATAAAAATTCTGAATAGAGTTGGTTATTTTATGTTAAAAAAAAAAGAAGGTAATAGAAAAAAAATTTTTTAAATAAAAACATTCCTTCTCTGAGTTAAAACACTCAATCTTTTTTACCAACTTTGAAGACAAAATCTGACAACTTTTAAAAAATCAAAATAAGTAAATTTACTTAAACCTTTAAAACATTTTCCAAATGTATTTTGCCTTTAGTCATGACCACATCAGTGGAATTATATCAACCACTTTCTGGTGGCATTTTATACCACGCTATCTTATCCCAGCATGCATCCAGTGCCATCCCTTTATTTTAATTTATTATTATTTACATATTTTATTATATTTGTGATGGCACTGTATCATTGATGTTCGCTACATTCAGGTTTTCTTTTAGACCCTTAGGGAGACTACGGCCTTGCAGCCTAAAAACTGCATGCCAACATCAAGCATAGAAGGTACTGTAGCCATACATATGCCATTCAGAGGGATCCTACCTTTCTGTACTATCTATCTCCTCTCCCTCCCCTTTCCTTATTTAAACCCAGATAGTATATAGATGCAAAAGCCAGAAATCATACATTCTGTATTTCACAATGAAACAGTGCAATCTATCAAAAGAGGAAGTTTCAAGGCATGTGAAGAGCCAATCTCTTAAAAGAAAAAAGATACATTTTCAGGATATTTGCATAGGTAATAGAAAAATGGTAAGTCTATATCCTGTCAATACTCTTGCAGTGGAAAACGTGCACGAGATGGAAAAATAAGATAGTTCCATCAAGTTCTAGCCTTTGCAAGTTTTAGTGTATTACCTTCAGATACATAACAATAAATTTTCCCAGAGCTAGGAAAGAAAGCAAATTTGTTATTTTTCAGTTGGATTTTTCTAATAAATTTGACATCAAATTTAATTTGTTTTATACTTTCCCAAATTCTACTCAGACACATCATTTCTTTTGAAGAAATTAGGCATCAAAAAGCAGACCATATGCAATCAACTACTAACTTCCTAGTAGGGTAATAGCACCAGTTGTCAACTGTTTAAAGCTATTTGAACTTTGATATTTTTTATTAGGATATGTAGTAACACGAAAAGCAAAATTCATATTAATCATCATTATATTAATCTTCATCATTATCATTAGAAAAAAATCAAATGATATAAAAGATGAACTGTTAGCAAAAGCAATAGTGACAAATTTTTATTAAAAATTTAATATGATACATTTGTGCTAAAACTGTTATTTTCTGATTCAATAATATCCTTAGTATATTATTACTAAATATTATGTTTGATATTTATATCAAAAACTGGAGAGTTACTATCACAATAAGAGTTTCTCTATCTGAAAATGCCTTTTCCAAACTCATATAAAACATTCAATGCTTTCTGATAAAGAGTTCATTTTTATACTTTAGAATCTCAAATTTATCTCAAAATTTAGTTACTCTCAATCTTTATCTAGAAATCTGAGCTAGTTCTTTGTCTACAAAAGAAATTGTGAATTTCACCTTTATCTAAAACATTAGCTACTGCTAGTTAAATTGACTGGTTTGGTGATTTTAGATACCAGTAAATACAAAAACTTTAAAAACTATAGAAAGCAGAAAAACTAAACTGATAAAAATAATTAGTTTGGTAGTTCTAGTGTTAAAGAATTCTATTTTCAAGTCAGTAAGCAAACTTTTTCTATTATAAGAGAAATTTTGAAAATGTAATTTTATATTTTTACATTTACAGCCTTCAATAAAGAAAAACAGACTAGACACTTTAACAATAAATAATCATGCAACATTTTAAAAAACATTTAAATGAATCATCTTTAGAGAGTACAGGCTAAGAAATGCTGAAGTAGAACAAAAATTTAAATAGAAAATTCGGCTCAAATAATTAAATCACATTTCATAAATACATACAAAATTTGCAATAAATATTTGGAAACAAAAATTAATGTGCACAGTTTTCAAATATTTCTTGTAAGGCAAATTTCTGAAACAAAAATGAGAATCATAGTATCTGGCATTTCCACAATTTTCTTATAGATTTTCTTTTTTGTGTATTTTGCTTCTGTCAATATTTGTATGGATTGATATCTTGGATTGGTACACTCATAAATCTTAAATTTTTCCAATGCATGTTGGATCCATTTATCATTTCTAACAAAACCTGCATAGTGCCCCACTGCCTATATGCATATCACATGAATTGTCTATGATTCAAATTTTCATACCATGTTCAATTCTTTCTTATTCTATTTTTAAATTTCTTTAACTTGTGATCTGACAATGATTCATTAAATGGGTTAAAAAGATTTGTTTAAAATACTGATTCACTGTTAAGATATCTAATTCTTCTTTATAATTCTACCAGCAAATGTTTTTATCTCTCTTAAGTAGCAAAAAATTATATATTATTTTTTATTACATTAGGATGTAAATTAAAGTATCTAGCATTAGAAACATTTGCTTTAATTATAATTTAAATGCTTTCAAAATAACAAAAATCTTCCTTATTATACAGTATCTAATTAATAGTAAATTTACATCTTAAACAATTATAAAAATGTAGAAAACAAATATTCATTGGCCCATTCTTTTTTCTTTTTTTAAATATCTTCAAATAGATATTCAACTACTTAATGGACTACTTTTTACTGAGACTAACAGGAATTTTTCATCCAAAATGTCTCATTCTGTTCACAAAGCTAAATTTCTTAAGTTTCTGTTTATTTTCAGTATTTAAAATTAAACATTCTTAAAAACAATAAAATTTTATCTTTGCCAGACATCATTTGCATTCCATGATATTTCTAGCTATTTTATATGAACACAAATATCATAAAAACAACAGATCCAAGAAATATGATTTTCCAAAACTAAATATATATAACATTCAATTTTTTCATTTTAAAGTTTCTTTGATTTTTTGGAAATCCTTCAGAAAAACTTAAAATCACATTCATATAAGACAGAGTGCACCATTGGAACAAGATAATCTACTGTCACATTTAGCATACATCATATTATTTACTAAATACAGTAGAGCATCGATTATCTGACTCAATTGGGGACTCAGGTTGGTCGGATAACTGAAAAAATCGGATAACCGAAAAGAAGGAAAAAAATACATTATTAGTATATCCCATGTAATTAGTTTATTAGTATATTGCTATTAACCAACTTCGCATTGAATTTTCATCGATGTTTAGCCTAACAAATTTTTTTTAAAATAATAATCGTCACTATTGTATCATTAAAAATTATTTTTAAATTATTTTATTGCTCACGAAACAAACAATCACTCATAATTAGAAAATTAAGTCCCGTTTAAATACTGGCCTCCCTTCAATGGTCAAGCCATTGATGCCAGCTAAAACACGCAAAAATTTAACAAAAATAATATTAAAGTAGCCAAGACATAGCCAAATATTGTAGTGCCACATCACTAGCAGACATTTGAAATTTGCCGACTAGAACGGTCGGTTAACCGATGTGACGGT